TGTATAAAATTACTTTTATTTTTATTAAAAAAATTACACTCGAAAAAATTTCACAATTGTACGTCTTTCTTTTACTCAGCCTTCGACTCCTTTCTCTCTTGTCAATATCATAGGCCCGTTTTCAAAATGTTAATGGAAATGCATGCGGACAACTTTTAAATTCACTCTAAAAAAAATCGGTGGAAATATATTTATTTTTGAATAAAAATAAAGATAAAATATATTTTTAAATTATAAATTAATACAAATAATTTTTTAAATATTTTTATTAAAAAATATTGACGTGATAAATAAAATTTTAATATTTTTTATTAAAAAATAAATAATTTATATTAATTTATAATTTAAAAAATAATTTATTTTTACTTTTTTTTTAGTGATAAATGTATCGTACTGATATTTTTTTAGAATGAATTTAAGGATTTTACTAATGCCTGGCATTCAAGTTTCAACCTCGTGCAGAAGCTGAGCAGGGATCAACTTTCTGCAAAAGCAGGACAAATAATTCAAAAATTATAGGCCCATAGAAAATAAAAGGTTAAATGTTAAATTTAGTCTCTCAATTTTATAAAATGCACATTTTTTATTTTTTAATAATTTTTTATTTTTTTTTATCCCTCAACTCTAAAAATTATACAATTTTAGTCACTCTGTTAATTAAGTAATGTGACAATTAAATAATTTCATGTAGCATTGTCTTTTAATTTTTTTTATGATGTAGCAATAATATATATTATAATTATGTTATATAAATAAATAAAAATACCGCGTAGATTAATATTTATATTTTAATTAAAAACAAATAAAATTACCTTATTACCTTCACCCTCCCAATCCTTCTTCTTTCCCTTCTTTCTTTCTCTTTCTTTCTTTCCTATCCTGGGTCGGTAGAAATAGGCTGGGTTCGACGCAAAATAGTCAATACCGTACCGGTATGCGTACCGATTTTGTTACTGGAACGGTACGTACCGGATATCGAAATTTTTCACGTACCATTTCGGATTTATCACTATAAATATATATTTTTATAAATTAAATATCAAATTTTAAAATAAAATAAGAGATATTAATATTTAACACTATTATATTCTTATAAATTAAAAATAAGTTAAAATGATAATTTTTAATCCATTAACTTTTAATATATACATATTTTTTATCTATCCATTTTAAATTAAAGGATTAAAAATGTGTGTATTTAAAAAAACTTAACTGAGTAATTAATAGAAGGACTAAAAAAAATATAAAGAATGGACTAAAAAAGTATATAAAAAAACTGAAGCATGAAAATTATATAAAATATTAAAGTTGAGTACTAAAAATGAAATTTGCCATTTTTAAAATTGAATTGATTTGAATTGTAGCGGGCAACTGTACCAAAAAATGGAAGATTGACAAGTTAAGACAGCTGGACGCGAGAACAGAGGAGGATTTGCGCGATCGAAATTGCAGGGCTAGCCAAAACGACGTCGTTTTGGCTAGGAATTTTTTTTTTTTAATTCTTGCATATTGTACCGGTTAAATTTCGGTGTACCGGTCAGTATGCCAAAATTTCGGTCAGTACACCGAAATTTGATCGAAATCACCGGATTTTGACCAAAACGAAATTTATTCTTATTCCGTTTCGGTTTACTCTCAAAACCGGTACGAAACGGTATTTACTTCTTTAGTTCGACAGTGAACCCAGCCTTGCTGGTCGCACGAACCAGCCTTGTTGGTTTTGTCGAAGGCTGGATTCGTCGAAACTCAAATCAGCTGGGTTCTTTCGATTTCCATTCCCAGTTGTTAATAAATTTGAGAGTTGATTTATATTGGAATTTGATTAGAGTTTGATTGTATTTTTGTTGAAATTTTATTAGAGTTTGATTGATATCGTTTATTGAAGGGTTAATTTGATTTAATAAGATCTGTTAGGTTTGAGGTTTCAATGAAACCCAGTAGTTGGGTTCAGTGACAGAGAATTCCAAATTCTCCTTTGGAGCATTCTAGGGTTCATAGACATATTATTTTGTAAAGACTCACCCCACTAGCAGTAGAGGCAACATAACTCGAGCAAATCTTATCATGAATTTCCTGCATTTGGTCAATTTCTCAAGTTTCCCCGAGAAAAGAGAGAAAGAAGAAATAAGTTAAGATCAGTTTTGTAGATGGCATGGAGATGAGAGAACATTCAGAGAAGAAGAAGAAATGGGTTAAGATCGATTTTACAGATGCAGTGGAGATGAGAGAGCATTAAGAGAATAAGAAGATATGAATTATATTGATTTTGCGGAGAGTGAAGAAGAGAGACCATTCTAGGGTTCACATACCTTTCTTTACTGGTGGTTTTATTAGTGGTTTGCAGGCAACGTGGAACCCATTGGAGGGGCTTGGCACGGGAAAATGACATATTATCAAAAAAAGTTCAGAGCAGCATCTTTTTAAGTTGTCTTTGCCGTGTCATAAAAAAAAATATAAAAAATGCCATGTGGCCAAGTTAACGGCCCAAATTGACAGAAGGACTAACGGAGTGCATTTCGTATAGTTGAGGAATAAAAAAAGTATAAAAAATTGTTGAAGGACCAAATTTAAGATTTAATCAAAACAAAAAAGGCTAGCGTGGCCGTGTGAAGAGAGTAGGGATGTTAATGGAGTCCCGCGGGGTTGGGGAGTCCCTCCTCGTCCTCGTCCCCGTCCCTGCGAATGGAGGGGATGGGGATCCCCGCGGGGATTTTTGATGGGGGACAGATTTTGCCCCCATCCTCGTTCCCCACGGGAATCCCCATTCTACACTAATTAATATTAAATTATAAATTTTTTTGTCTTTTACATATAACTAATTAATATTTAATTATAATGAATGAAATTCTAAAAATTCAAATACAATTAACTAAAATTTTTAAATATAAAATCAAATATAAATTGTCCAAATATAAATAAAAATCAATTCAACATATATAACTAAACCAATAATTAACAAATTTGTTTCAAACATAAACAACGATTAATTCAAGCTAAATTAAGACATAAATAAAAATTAAATCAATAATGGAGGGAAAGGTGAAAATGAAAATTGAGAAATGAATTAGGGTTAAGGTTAAATGTAAATAGGAGAATGAATTGGATTAATTTTTATGGATTAATTTTTATGGATTGGGTTGGATTGAGTTGGGTTGAATTAGGTAAAATTGGGTTAAATTTAATTTTGATTGAATTGAATTTGAACTTGAGTTTGGATTTATATTTGAATTTAAATTTGAGTTTGAATTTAAAAGATGAATTAAATTTAAAATAAAATTAATTTATATTTATTTTAATTTTTATCGAAATAAAGATCCTCCCGAGACCTCATAAACGAAGAAAATTTCTTATGAAATTTTACGTCTTCATCTTCCCTCACGAAAAAGGATATTCTTCTTGTTTCGTCCCAGTGACAGGACCCTTCGAAATCTCACGAAGATCGAGAAAATCTACCATC